TCTGATCTTTTAATGACAGTCTGAACCACACAGATCTGATTTTTTCAAATGCAACCCAGGACACTTGGATATGTGCTCCTGAAACTGATACATATCTGATCTTTTGACATGCGACTTCAGTGTGAACGGCCAAAGTGCATTCATCCACCTACACGTTATCAACAAGACACAAACGTCACTATTCTGCGCTGAAGCAGGCGAAAATTGTTAATGAACTCTGTGTCACTGAAGCGAAGCACATCACCACTCACCACTTTTTGCTCCGTCTCCACATCCACACGTTCCTTTCAACGGACGTCGCTGCCACTGCCCCACAAAACACCACGACCAAAAACCTCGTCCTTCTCCTTCTCAATCTCCTCCTTAAAACAAGTAAGTTGTTCATGTTCTGGCTCCGGTACGAGAGGAACTTTAAAATCTCCAGGTGCTCGATGCTGCGTCCATGTTTGGACAACTTCTGTAAACACAGAGACGCTCACTGCGGTTGACGTCGTCGTGTCTCCAGTGTCACATGTGGGACACTTTTGGGCCGTTTACTGTTCACACTGGAGTCACATACAAGTAACATTTAATTGGAAATGTGAATGACCTCGCAAAAACATTGGATTTCACAAAAAAATCGGAATTGAGGATTAAGCCCTGCAGTCTGAACGTAGCCTAATCAATTAACTAAATAGCCCAAGGACTTTGATAGGGATATGCTGACTCATGACTCCTCACCCTGATCAGACCAGCAGGACGCTCCTGTAAGGTTAGTGAGATGAATCCGGGGGGATCCTTGTCACAATCGAATAAGATTGTGTAACGTGCCAAGAGGCCTGTGCACCAACGAAGAGGCACTAAGTCTAAACCATGGTTGCATCCCACTATAGTTTGCGTATAAAAATCATTGTATAGGCGTAAATATTCAGTCTCTGCATGGGAATGTCAGCACAGACTCCTTGTACAAGTATCACTTTGGAATAAGTAAATTATCCAGACTTTATTTCTGTTTCAAGTTTAATTTTTTGTCTTAGCAGAAACTAACAAACACGAGAGGAAAAGGGTTATTTTCCTCAACACTTTATTTAATTCTTCTCAGTGATTGTGTGGAGAAGGGTTCTGATTGGACAGAGACACAAACGTATTTACGTTGACCAGAAGAAAACACACACTTCAGCTGCTACCGGCTTGATAAATAATGGAAAAAATGGACAATGGCTGTTTCCTGTTGTTGTGACTTAAACTGCACTTGTCTAACATTTTAGGTGGTCATGTTAACAAAATAACACTTATTTCCAATGTCCATGTAAATGTGTAACTTTCACTTTCCTCATGTACTGATGACAGGAGCAGTTTCCAGTTCTGCGTCTGATACATGTACAGAGTAAGAAAGCTTTCAGAAATATTCATGTGAAGAGGATACAAATCTATGCATATTTGGGAAATCAAGACACCCAAAGCTCTTTACAGCTCAGTAGTGTCGGCAAGCTATTATTGTAGCCACATCTGCCCTGGGACAGACTGACAGAAGTGAAGCTGCCAATCTGCGCCATCGAACCAAGCCGACCATCACCATCACTCACACACATTCCACTCTTTTTAGGCAATGTAGGTGAAGTGTCTTGCCTTAGGACACAACAACAGTTTTTGTGACTGGCGCCCCCCTGTGGCACCTGATGTTCCCAGTGTCTCCATCCAAGTACTGACCAGACCCGACCCTGCTGAGCTTCTGAGATCTGATGGGATCAGGCTTTGACAAACTGGTTATGGCCACTTCTGTTCTTCCTGTTCTGTGCTTTTTTTTAGAATGAAAACATGCAGTTGGACCTGACCTGTGTTTTTGTTTTTGTTTTCATGTAGACTGTTGGTCTATCATTGGGCCCAGTCAAGCAGAAGTAAACATCAAGGCCAAAAATTTAAGTTAATTCATCTGATATAAAAATGTATTGAACAGATACATATGTACTCTAGTTTATGAAACTGTTCACCTTTTCTCTGTACCATTTTTGGTTCTAAAGTTACATACGTTGTATGTAGTTGTTCCATGTATGAAACATGGAACAAAAATTATTTCCCAAATTTCAAAGATCTGCAAATCATGTCAATAAATGGATGTATTTCATCATATCTTGTGTTATTCCATCTTTGAACTGTTGATGAAGGTACATGATTTTTCAAAAAAAATTTATTTAAAATGATAAAAATTTGCTCAGAAGGACTGACATATTTTATAGAAACAGTTTCCTTTCATTTTGAAGTAATATTAAAGTATTCAGAAGAAAAAAGCGACAAATTATGCAAAATCCTGCACCTTCTACTTTTCCCTCCGTTACTTTTCCCTCTGTTACCATGACCTTTCTTAATAAAAAATCTCATGAGTCAAAAAGTCAGAGGTTTTTCAACCTAATCTTGTACCATATGGTAGAAAACTATATGAAGCAAATATTCAAACCAGTTTGTTAAGGATATGGAAGTGAGAACCAAGAGTTATCACTGTTTGGATTTATTGACCAAAAAGTGCTGCATATTTCATTCCCTCCGTTACCGACATGAGTTTTTTTAAATTTTTTGTCAACAACTTGAAAGAATATCACAGGTTTAACTTGACCCTGTTGGAGTGTAACTCTTTCCTACATTCTGATACTTTACTTATTTCAATAGTCCCTCTAGTTTCTGAATAAGAGACATTTGAATGTCAAAAATCTGCCCCTGTTTCCCTCCGTTACCACTTGACTGGACCCCATTATATTATTATTGTTGTTATTACTGTATTTGTGCAGCACTTTGGAGACTGTTTGTATGACATGTGCTGAAGAAAGTGGATTGAATTAGATTTAGTATAAATCCAGAGCGACACCAAGATTTTTGACATTTCACTCTGCTTTGAAAGCAGGTGGGGTCTAATTTATAAAGCTCGCTGTAGAAACTTTGCTTCTCTCTGCGCCTGCTGGGACTCTGGGCACTCGGCACAGTCTGCAGACACAGGGAAAAAACAACAGTCATGCAGAGGAGCAAAAGTGAACAGTTTGAGGAAGTATTTGATACAAATCACCAGGAAATACATCTTAGAAAACGATTACATTCAGCTCAGCATTAAAAAACTCTTTATTTCACCCATAATTCTTGAAAATACATGTATGTGAAGGCGCTGTACCTCAAGCTCTCTGGTGATTATAAAAAAGGCATTTATAAGTATTATGAGTCTTGTTTTAACTGGAAGTGAGGTTGAGAGTCATACACTGAAAAGTTTTACATTTATCTCAATACAAAGTGAATTTTAAAACATCATATTTTTGAAATTTTTATTAAACAGCCCAGACAAAAGAACAATCATAAGACAAACAGACAAACGCAAGTGACAGAGACAGAAACCTTTACCTCTGTGATGTTTTCATGAAGTCTTAAGAGTGAAAATCAAACTTTGGACAAATCAGAGGAGCACAGCCAAATGCACTGACTTGTTTACCTATGTTAAGTTGTCATGAGCTTGGAACAGGCTTCTCCTCTTTATACAGGCAGGCACAGGTATCACTTTCCATTTTAACCGGTCGCACATTCTACACCAGCAGTGTCATACAAACGTCCAACCACCGTCATGACTCTACGCACAACTCATATTAGCTTGGAGTTCTAATTTTTCTGCATCAACGGAGCATCTCCAGGCTTCTTAGCAGGGGAGAGACAAGAAAATAAGCATGTGGTGTCAAAATAAACGTCAATGCCCTTTCAAAATACGTTCTGTAAAACCACTACAGTCGTGTAAACACCGTGCACCTCATCAGGAGCTCAGGGAATGACTCGTGATGGACTACGCTAAGTCAGTCGTGGAGGATAATTATTAGCCAGGCTGGCATCACCTAGTGATCATTTCTCTTCAGTGACTAGGTCAGGAATCGGAATACACAAGATGGAGACAGTTTGCGAGAACCCCGGAAGTGCGAGTTCAGGCACCAGTCAATCAGCGAAGAGTCATATATTCTGTGTTGGCAACGATTCCCCAGATCAAGGATTTAAAGCTGGAACAAAGAGAATGTTCGGTGAATTTTATCAAGGGGAAAGATGTTATTGCTAGTGATGGACAAATGAGTCGGAGCTCTGGAGCACGTCTCGTTCTTTCTGAAACAAATCACTCTGAAGCACTGCCTCGGAGCTCGTCTCACAGCAGCCGCTCACGTGACCAAAGTGTGGAAGTGTCGGTCCCTCCCCCTACTGCTTCACTCTGCGTGTCAATCACTCCAGTGTATCAAAGCGTTTCATTGGCTCAGCAAATGTTCCTGCTCTGCGATTGGTTCAGAGTGTTCAGCGCACTTCTGTGGTTTGACAAGCGCTAAACTGCTACAGTATAAAAGATGCACCAATATTTGTTAAAAACATTGGGTAGTGAGGAGTTTTGTGTGACGTTAGTGGTGATTTTAGTGACTTTTGGCAACTTTTGGCATTTGTTTCATTTTCGATGGCGTCTACAAGTGAAAAAAGAGATCCATGGTTTGGGATCACTTTGATCTAATTCCACCTAACAAGGTAACACCTACTTTCTTATTTACAGCTGCTGTTTATGTTGATCTTTACATATTATTTTAAATCATCATTATTGTTGTTGTTGTTAGGTACGGTGTCGCTCTGCACTAACAATACTTCATCGATGCTGAGACACCTGCGTGCCAATGGTTAAATTTGTCCACTAGAGGTCAGTGTTTCTCCAAGGCCTCAAACACATCGAACCATTTGAAAACCAAGGTGTCAACGCTTCACGAGGCTCCATTCGCCCATCACTAGTTATTGCCCTACTTCCTACGGGATTTGGCTTAATATACCAGTTTGTCTCGTTAACACCGCATTACATACGTCACAACCAAATAGCAGCGATTGGTTAAATGAAAAAAGGTACCCACCTAACGTGGAGTGAACAAATCCTAATGCTGCGAGGTCAGACGGTTTCCACCAAATGAAATTTATTTGATGAATAAAATTAATATATAAAACACACAAACTTTATGAGAATAACATTTGGTCTTCATTATTGCAGCACCGCAGATATGACTCGTTATCACTGCAAAGCACCGTGTCTCTTTGTATTGTCATTTAAAACATAATTTATCCAATCAACAATGAATACATAAGCAACATAAAAAGTTTAGTGTTTAAACGTGACAAAACACAGAAGCTGGAGTCACAGGAGCAGCTCTGGTGTAAGTTCAAGCTTTGAAAAGTATGTGTGTATGCAGCTCTGCCTCGCTGACGCTCCTGTTGTAAATTACGGGTAAAAACAAAACAAAAAATTGCCTTTAGAAACAAAAATCATATCATATTTCTATCAGTGTGTTCTGAAGCTGCTGTCTTGTGGTATTTTATAATATTACCAGATACAGTAAGTCATAAAAAAGGCCTCTTTAAAAAAATGTCTAATCATTTATTTTATCATTTTATTCAATTTTGGCTAAACACCATAGAATTTTTACACATCCAGGTTGTCGTTCATTTTTTGACGGTGGCGTAGAGCTGAGCAGGGTCCTCCACAGTGGGGTTCCTCACTGAATTGTAGGTCACCACCTCCTCCTCCTCCTCACTCTGTCTGACCTGAGCAGAGGAACAGGACAATATCTTACATTAATAAATTGTGCATTTACATATACTGAACATTTGTAGGGGGAAAATGTATATATCCAAAATGAAAAACAGTGTTGGGAAGGTGACTTTTAAAACGTATTCCCCTACAGATTACAGATTACATACCCCAGAATGTAGTTTGTAACATAATCCATTAAATTACTTAAATTGAATAACATAATCTGAATACTTTGGATTACTTGATATTGTCATGCTTTTTAAAACTACATGAATGTACCAACCACATCCTGAAAATTCTTGTTTGTTCTCTTCAGATTGTCTGTTGAGTCCAAAACATGAACAGACTTTTATTTGCTGTAGAGTAGAAAAGACTAAGACCTGTTAACATAAGATGTTTTATCTGCTAAAAGAAAATAAAAAGTCCAGTCTTTACTTAACCAGATTAAAAATATTATTGATAGAGAAATGATTTTTATATGAGATCACTGCTGCCTTCAATTGTGTCCACCTACTGTTAGTGTCATATTGTTTAGTCCTGGTTTAGTCCTAGTTTAGTCCTGGTTTAGTTCTGGCTTAGTTCTGCACAGCAAAAACTGGAGAGTTAAAATTTCAGGGTAAAATATTTCAGAGTTGTTTTTAACACAGAAAGTGTTATTTTAACTATTTGAAAGTTAAATGGGAGTTAGAGTTGGGGTTATTTGCCAGAGTTGATATGGCTGAAGTTATTTCAACTTCTGCTAGTGTTATTTCAACTTCCTCGAGTGTTAACTCGGCACCGCCCACCACTGCAAATTCCCGCCACAGAAGACCAGTTTGAACCAGTTTGAACCAGTTTGAACCAGACACAGACACAATGGATTTTTCACTTTTACATGCAGCTCTTTTTGGTAAGTACAATTAGATTTAAACTATATAGACAATATTTTTATTTTCTTCACTAATTAGAATTACAGTTATAACTGTATAGGTTGAATTCTTTATCAAAGAAATTGCTAGCAGACGTAACTATACCCCATGGTCTTTTAGCTCTTTGCTTATGTCAAGGACAGTATTCTATCCTGCATATTTTAAGTAAGCTTTTAAATCTTTTTTTTATTCGCTAAACTGGTGTGTGTCTGTCTGGTGTATGTTGTATGTTGTAGCTCTCAGTAACAAATGTTTCTCTTTTTGACAGATAATAGAAGCAGCTTTAAAAGAAAAATCTGGTGGTGAAGAAATGCTAAAGGAACAACAAACAACAGAAACACTAAGTCACACTACAAGAAGGAAGTTGGTTAATAAACTGGTTTCTCACATGATTCAGCACCATGAGTATGTTTCTATGTTTGTTCACAAAATTGAATAAATGATTCTTAACGTCTCTAATAAGTTGAATTCCTGTTTCAGTAACTTCCCCTCTAAGTCCACCGGGAACAGTCTGCCCTTGGGATTGTGATGGTGTTTCCTTCTCTCAAAGATCCATATGCCAAGAAAGGCTATGGAAGAATTATTTTGCTTTCTAAGCAATGTAAATTGTGTTAACATTCAACATTAAGTTGTATGGCATCCTTTTTACTTTTAGGAGCACCTCTATGATGCTGCGGGTGGATCAGGTACATCTCATGGCGGCTGAAGATGGTCCAAAGGCGGAAAAGGCAAGTGATTCCACAGCCACCGGACAAGCCCTGTTGACTGAACTCAAGGAGCCCAACACATCAGAGGACTGTTCAGGTCCAACAGCAGCTGGACGCTGATGCCAAGAGTCTTCAGATAATGATTTGTACATGATTTCATCTTTTACAGTGTTTTAAAGAAAATAAAGGCTTTACATGCACTGAATGTGTTTTTTACAGTGTACCTTAATTTACACCTCACAGTGTGTAGTTACAACTCTCCAAGATGTTAAATTAACTCAAATTAAGTGTAAAAATAAAACACCTCTGTGTGTTGTTTAGCTAAATCAGGATAACCCTACAAAGTGTTAACCCTTTACTCTCAAAATGTTAATTTAACTCTTGATTTTGGGGTTAAACAGTAACTTTGGTCCAGTGTTACTTAATTAACATTTCCAAAAGTGTTAAATTAACTCTAGAACAGATTGGACTCATATAGACTCTGAGAAAATGTTAAAATTAACTCTGTGAAAGTCAATTTTAACACTCCACTTTTTGCTGTGTGGTTTTAGTCCTGGTTTAGTCCTGGTTTAGTCCTGGTTTAGTCCTGGTTTAGTCCTGGTTTAGCTCAAAATGTGAAAACTGGAAAATACCTCTGTGTAATCCATTTATTTCAACAAAGTAACTGTAATCCAATTACCACTCACTGAAACAGTAACTGTAACTGAATACAGTTACTCATAATTTGCACTCTGATGCATTACATGTAATCTGTTACTCCCCAACCCTGATGGAAACCCACAAAAAAATCAGGTTCAAGGCCTTTACACATTAGTAACTGTACACACTGAAGTGCTGAAAGTTGAAAGCACAGCATGTTTATAGCAGAGCTTTTATTTGAAAGTGGGACCTCTGTGAGACCTTGAGGTTATGGCACAAAAAGAACCTTATATTATTGTGTTTAATGTTATGAAGTGATTCTCTACAAGAAGGACTGATGCTGCACACCACTGACATTAAGAAAGAGCCAAATCAAACTTCTCTGACCTCAGACCAACAGAGTTTTAGTGCTTGGCTCACTGATTCTGCAGAAATCTGGAATGTTTGTCAGTCCTGTTATATTTGTATTATTTTTTAACCTTATTTGATATGAAACGTCTGAGAGATTCACTGGTGACCAGAGTAAATCTTTGTAAAATATTGAAGAGGTGTCAGTTCGGGATCCTAGGTAAGGGGCAGCCAGGGTGAGTCCTGGTCTAGTCCTGGTCTAGTCCTGGTCTAGTCCTGGTCTAGTCCTGGTCTAGTCCTGGGTAGTCTTGGTCTAGTCCTGGTCTAGTCCTGGGTCTAGTCCTGGTCTAGTCCTGGTCTAGTCCTGGGTAGTCTTGGTCTAGTCCTGGTCTAGTCCTGGGTCTAGTCTAGTTGGTCTAGTCCTGTCTAGTCTGGGTCTAGTCTTGGTCTAGTCCTGGTCTAGTCCTGGTAGTCTTGGTCTAGTCCTGGTCTAGTCCTGGGTCTAGTCTAGTTGGTCTAGTCCTGGTCTGGTCTAGTCCTGGGTAGTCTTGGTCTAGTCCTGGTCTAGTCCTGGGTAGTCTTGGTCTAGTCCTGGTCTAGTCCTGGTAGTCTCCTGGTCTAGTCCTGGTCTAGTCCTGGGTAGTCTTGGTCTAGTCCTGGTCTAGTCCTGGGTAGTCTTGGTCTAGTCCTGGTCTAGTCCTGGGTAGTCTTGGTCTAGTCCTGGTCTAGTCCTGGGTAGTCTTGGTCTAGTCCTGGTCTAGTCCTGGGTAGTCTTGGTCTAGTCCTGGTCTAGTCCTGGGTAGTCTTGGTCTAGTCCTGGTCTAGTCCTGGGTAGTCTTGGTCTAGTCCTGGTCCAGTCCTTACCTCATATATCTGGTTGTTGGTGTTGTAGGTGACATTGCAGTAAAGCCCTTCCTCTTCACGTTCAGCCTTTGAAGAAAACATTCAGATGTAAATTTCTAATTCTAAGATTTTGATGTGAACAAAGACCCAGATCTTTAGACTTAAGTCAAAATTGTCTCCCGTGGGGGGGACAGGACTGTTTTCGTGAACTTAAGGCAGTCTGTCTTTCAAGTATTCATCTCAGCTGAACACCGGCTCTTCTTCCACTTCTCAAAGCACCTCCTTTCCTCTCCTCTCACAGCCTCGCACTGTCTCTTACTTTATAAGTAATTTACAGATTAAAAGCTCATTTATAACACAGTGCAGAGTTGTGTTAAAGCTGTAACTCTCCTAAAAAGGCCAGCAGCTCTTGAAGCAAAATTGTAATTCATTTTGAAAAATCAATCCATGCATTTGTAACGTGGCATCAGTTTTACTGTAATTCTTTGTGTGTTGAGCCAGACTACAGCTCCCTCATGTCCAGAACAACAAAAACTAAGAGACAAGACCATATTGTCTGTGCTGTGCAAGCTGCTCCTTCTCTAACTCGACTTGAAATGTGACTGATCTTGAGTAAATGTCTGCACTTTATGGGACCATGACAGGAACTGCTGCAGCTCCACCCAAGTCCTGAGGTCAAAGAAACTTATACTGAACATCAACCCACCACCTGTGAACTACTGCACTAGATCTTTACCTTGTTCTGTTTGAGCCAATTACATTTTAAATTCAACATCTGCAGTCTGAATAACACCCTCCCCATCGTAACAAGATGTGTGCAGTGTCAGAAACCCAAGAGACTGGAGATGTCAGAGCAGGACAGCTCAGGCCAGGGCCTTCTGTTCTTCAGCAAGACACTTCACACTTCATAGGTTCCTGTTTATTTCTTTGATCACACATTTCTGTAAACCCCTCCCACTGTAGCACACTGCTCTGTCTGTTTAATCACAACATTATATTGGACTGGACGACATGAAAAAGAATAAAAAATAAACTCACAGGAGGGTCACTTCTGGTGTCGGGCTTCACTGTAAACAAACACACATGTAGATTAATAGATTATTTCACTGTCCCACAGGAAAAGTGCAGTGTTGTAGCAGAAAAGTACAAGAGCAGCAGTAGAATTACACTGTCAAATCAATATTAAACATTTTCATTTTCATTTTAAATGAAAGAGAAAATATTACTATACCCAGGTTAAAGGTACATTTTACACTTTGACCTCATTTTGAACCCTGAGTGAAGAGCGAGTTTCAGGATGAACTTTAGCCCCGCCCACATAGTCTCTGAAGTTGCACCATGACAGGAAAACAACTGTCGGTCACAGGCTGTTGCTTCACCTTGGTTCTAACTAAATGTTTTTTCTAATATATAGAGTGATCCAGAAGAAATAAAAGTCATGTAGATACTTTTTCAGGGTGCATCCATAGCTGTATACAGGAGTGGACTGAGGGAGTGTGACTTCACTCAGAGTGTTCTGGCTAAATTAAGCCAGTCAAAGCCATCAGTGATATCTGGAAATATAAGTGTGTGTATCTTAGCAACCAAAGAGCAAACTTCCTCACCTAAACCCTATTGAGAACTTGTGAAGCCTTCTTAAACTGGAGATTTACAGTGAAGGAAGACATGCACCTCTGAAATGTCAGAAATGTTTATTTGTAAATTTTGAGTAGTTTACTATTCTGACAGATAAAATAACCAAGGAAGAATGGAAAATTTTCATTTTTCATTTAGTTGCATAATAATTCTGCACATTAACAGTTGCCCAATAATTGTGCACAAATAGAATTTTTGCTTAGAAAGTCAAAACTTTCACTTCCTTAAATATTCACGTTTGAGATTTATTAGCATTTTGGATTGACCACACTGTAGTTGTTCAGTTATGAACAGGGTTCCCACTCTTTTTCACTGACACTTCAAAACATTCCATGATTTTTCATGACCTTAAGTGAATTTTCCATGACTTTACAGCATCTACATGTATAGAATTGATCAGACTTTAAGGGGTAAATATGAAATGTTAACTCTTTACCCTCACCTTATAGTTTGGGATTATAGTTTTGAACATTCCAAATCCTGTCAGTGCATTTATTGTCGTCTCTTTTAAACAAAAGGTGCAAATGTTCAGAAATAATCATAACACCCTCATGAGAACTTGACAGAACACTGTAGTTGTGTGAAAGAGATACAAAAATCCATGACTTTTCCAAAACTTTCATTGAATTTACAAATTTCCATAACTTTTCCAGGCATGGAAAATTACATTTTCAATTTCCATGAGTTTTCCAGGAATTCCATGACTGTGGGAAGTCTGTATTAAATTAATCCTCATAAATATAACTTGCCTAATAATTCTGCCCACAGTGTACAGTGTACAGTGTAGAGAAGCACTGATACCAAACTGGAATTATACCAAACTACAGCGATTTCAACTAGAAATATAAAACAGCCTCTCAAAGAAGTATTCTAGGCAGAAAAGGTCAACTATATTATATAAATTGGGGTCTCCAACCTGTAGCTCGGGAGCTACCAGTCTCTCTCCACCCTCTTCCAAGTAGCTCATCAAGGGGTTTCGTAATGAAACATATTGTGTTGAATAAGTCAAATCTGATTATTTACCATTGCACATGTATCATTCTGATGCCTGACTTGTGCACTAATCAATGGACCATGGTTTATGTTTGATAAGTTTCTAACTGTTCCCCGTCTAAGGCTCGACATGGCTCTATTACTTTCTCAATTTCTTGCGGCTGCCAAAATTAGCTTTCTGGCATTTTAGTTTTGTAAAAGAGCTCAACAAAGGAAAAAGGCTGGAGACCCCTGATCTAAATCCTATTAAATGAATTCGATTTACTACTAGAATTGAACCCATGTAAAAATAATGTCTGGCGAGTACTCAAAATGAAGAACTAGTACTTGTTTTAGAAAAAAGTGTTATCGGTGCATTCCTAAATACATGTGATGTAGTTTCACCTCTGAGTCTCCTCCATGTGACCACGACCACCACACTGACAAGTACAAGTACAAGTACAAGTACTGCAGCTACAGCCACTACTACTGCACCACAGCAACACAACAAGACAACTAAGTACAACACACACAACACAACACAACACAGGAACTAAGTACAACAGTAAAAGTACTTATACACACAACACAACACAGGAACTAAGTACAACAGTAAAAGTACAACAGTAAAAGTACTTATACAACTAAGTACAACAGTAAAAGTACTTATACACACACAACACAACACAGGAACTAAGTACAACAGTAAAAGTACTTATACACACACAACACAACACAGGAACTAAGTACAACAGTAAAAGTACTTATACACACACAACACAACACAGGAACTAAGTACAACAGTAAAAGTACTTATACACACACAACACAACACAACACAACAACAAGTAAAGTACAAGTACAGTACAAGTACAAGTACAGTACAGTACAGTAAACTAAATCTGTTTAAAATAACTACAAACACAACACTTTAACACAGTTGTGTACACTCACACAGAATGTCACAGATTGACAACGATAAGATGAAAACGAGGATGAATTAATTTCGAGTTCTGGTTTTCACAATTTAAATCTGACTCCTCCTCCTGGTCTCACCTGGTTTGTTGGATCTGAATGAAAACTTCTTCTTGTTTTCTCCATCAGTCACTTCACATTTGAACAGATCCACCTTTTTGTAAAGGAAATGTGATTTTGGAAGTGTAACAGTGACGCCATGTTGAAGGTTATTTGTGGTTATTCCTGAGTTATTAACTTCTTTGCCTTTGAACAACCATTTTGTTTTGACATCATGAAGTGAAGAGGACACAGAACAGTTTAACTCAACGTTCTTCTCCTCTGTCCTTTTAGTCACTGTGAAAAACAAGACACTTGAGTCAATCTGTGTGACTGTGGCAGAGTGGTTATCCTGTCTCCTCCTCTCAGTGAGGAGGTTGTGGGTTAGACTCCTGATCTAAAAACAAAATACTCACATGAGACCACAGACAGATACACAGGAGCATCAGGAGACAGGAGACGTCCTGATTGGTTGTATTGTTGACAGTAGAAGAGTCCAGCGTCCTGAGGATGGACATTTTGAATCTCCAGACCACAGTTTTCTTTTAATCTCAGTCGTTTTGAAATCTCTGGCACACTGGAGTTTAAAACTCCAAGTGTAATAAGACTTTTACTTTCTCCTGGTTTGTCGACCGAGTAAAAAGTCCATGTGGTTCCAGTACATTCTCTTTGTCTCTCTCTTACATCCCCACAGGACAAAGTGACACTTTGTCCCTCTTCCACAAACTGATGTTGATCTGCTGCTGATTCTGTGGAAGAGAAATCATAAAAGAAAGAAAAGTTTGGTTATATTACAGAGATTGAACCAGCAACCTTGAGCAAGAGAAGATGGAGCTGTCTCAACATCTCAGATCATGTCCCATCACATCATGTTAGTGCTGTAGATCAGTAGCAGGTACAGACTGAATGTTCTCTGCTCTGTTATTTCTTAGTACATTAACATTAGTCTTATTTAAATCACACATATGAATGTAAGACTGTCTTTTAAAAAACTAAATAAGAGTGTTACATTTTGATTTGGAAGAAGGAGTGTTATATTGGAGAAACTAAACAGCCACTTTCTTTTTTTTTATATATCATTTTTATTTGCAAACTACATAGATTACAACAAATAGGAAGCAAACAACATACAAGACACAAGACAGACATTACGACTGAACATTACATACAAATAGGGACAAAGATGACAGGGGTTGGTGACAGTGTGAACCTTATGTGTGTGTCTGTGTGTGTGTATATGCCTGGGTGTGTGTACGTGTGTGTGTGTATGTGTATGTGTGTGCATATGTGTATGTGTGTGCGTGGGTGTACGTGTGTGCATACATGAGTGTGTGTGTGTGTGGGGGGGGGGGGTAGACAGGCTGTGCAGATGATTTACTGTTGATCTGTATTATTGCTATTTAATTGGAGTATTGCAAATTTGTTAAGTGTGTGTTGGTGCTTTGCCTCAGATCCCCACTCAAGTGGGAGCAGGCCGAGCCACACCCACGCCCCCCATGGCAGGTGTGGGGGCCACCCCCAGGGCTCCACATGCAGTCGCCCATCAGCCACTTTCTAAGAGAATGTACCAACACAGGACCCCAGTCTGCTGTCCATCTCCATTTCAAAACCACTAACCACTCCTTTGAGGATAGTGAGAGACAGATATTAACCAGAGAAAAGAAATGGAGAATTAAAGAGGCTATTTTTGTTAGGAAAGACAATCTATCTTTGAACAGGAATGGGGCGATTAGACATAATCTGTCTCCAATTTACAACTCAATCCTCAGACCTAAATCAAACAATACTGTCCTACAAAGAGAGAACACCGTAACATCATGTTTGGTCAAAAATAAGTTCATGTCATGTTGTTTGTATTTGAGATCTCCTTTATCATGTGAATAATTATCCTAAAAAATATTGAGCTCAAAATTGACCTCTGACTCTTATTTGACAGTTCCTACTGTCTCTCTTTGTATCATGAGTCAAAAATAAGTTTTCGTGCAAAAACAAAAGGCAGTAACAGTGTATGTTTTGTTTGTGATTTAATTCATAAATATATTTTATTTTAACATCCAACCTCTCACCTCTTTCTTTTTGTTGCAGCTTTGGCACAGGGTCTTAACACATTCAATAACTCTACCTTTGGATTCAGTTTAATTCAGTTATCTTCAGTGTGAGAGTATTGTGTGTATTTATTCATACTGTACACACTTTACTGCAAAGTCACTTGTGTCAAACTGTTTCTCTGTGTAAGTGTCGCTGCACGATCCTTATCATCAGTAAACAGGAAATCTAAAGCTCTTCTATAGAATTTCAAGCAAACACATGATGACTGGACCTTGGTGAGATGTTTTTCTTAAAATGAAAGTCTGGAGAAAATCAAGCAAATAATGATCATGCCATTTTCTGCCTTTAATATTTGCACGACTCCTTATTTCTGACTCATGATACAAAGGCAGTGAACAGGAACTGACAAATAAGGGTCAAAGGTCAAGTTTGAGCTCAATATTTTTCACACACAAATATTTCTTCATTACAGCAACTAGTTGTCAGATTTTGGGAGTCCTACCTATTCTACTTCTGTTTGGACAAAACAGAAACTTTGAAGTGATTTTTCTAAGTTTCACTCTTTTGCCTTTGTCACCGGGGCACAACAGTGACGGCCTGTTCAAGCTCTGAGTGTGAAAGCGTCAGGCGCCTGAAGGATTCTGCTAATATGACACTTAGTCCAGATTTACTAGAAAAAAAAATACGGGTAACAATTTGCACTCACACTTTTAACCCTCTCCAGGCAGGCGTTGCAGATTTGCAACAGCTAAATTCCAAGAACCTACTTACTCCACATCCATATTTTATGAGCTTTTTTTACTCAGGAGCCTTTTCTCCCATCCATGCTGATAAACGTGGGCGATGCAGACTGTGCAAGAATGACTACACGCAAACAGCCTGTCAGAAGTGCAAAGTACTTTTTTTGTTTACAAAGGATAAAAAAGTCAGGATTGTATATTACTACCCCATATTATAATTTTCCCCAAATATCAGATTTTTCCTGATACTAAAAATTAATTTGAGCCTGAGAGGGTTAAGTCCATAAATCATCACTAGACTTGTTTCATGCATTTCCAGCATCAAATCGTGCTCATTACCTCTGCATGTGTACAATAACCTGCCAGGGCATGTTTCCCACTACGCAGTTTAATTGTTTTGCTGTGGTACGTCTGCAGCCAGTGGATGTGAAAGGGCCCATCTCATGCAAAATCAACTTTTCAGAACTTTCTACCTTCTAAGAGTGATGTGTGCGCCTTGGATTTGTTGCCGAAGTGTTTTTTAGATTGGTTCAGCGTTTTGTTTTTTTTTGTTTTTTACAAATTGCAGTGTATTTCAGCAATTTTTAGGTGAGATTAAAATGAGATTAATTAGATTAATTAATTACAGATCATAATTAATTAATCTCTCAATTTTTTTAATCGCATGACAGCACTAATTTTAATCAGGCATTATTTTAAATTCTCAATGCATATTTGTTCTTTAAATGTCTGAAGACGGAATACAGCTCAGAAGTAAAAAATGTAAGTGTCTTTACTTTCAGAAATATGCTTTTTTTTTAATGATGCCTCTTTTGTCGCACGAAGGAATGAAATGAACACATGAAAGAAAATACATGAAACTTTCAGCTGAATCGTTTCACATTTGAGACGATGAGTGCAGCAGCATTTAAACAGGTGATGGTCTCTTACCTGAGCAGAGCAGAAGAGTCAGAGTGAGAAGCACAGGTCTGAACACACACAGAGACATCATGATCTGTGAGGCTTGTGCGCTTTCTTTGTTTCTTTCAAACTTCCTCTAAACATGTGACACTTGACACCTCAGCGCATCCGGACTGACAAAGACACTGACTGACAAATTTGATCACTTTATCACTGACTGAATAATGTATTGATTTAGTAAGCTGTTAAACTTTTAGGTAGTATTGTTGGTTGTATTTAGTTGTAATTAAATAATATTTAAACTGATTCATGCATGTTTGAGAAAGCCTGTATTGTTCTGCAAATGAGGTTTCAGTTCTACCTTCTATCTTTAACATTTTTTTATATTTAGTTGCAATTAATTCAAAACAAAACAATCATTTTCTCAACAATATCAACAATAAAACCACATGAATGTAAAACTGCTGCTTGTTTCAGTGATCAGAGAGGTTTCACATCTGTAGTTTTAAACAGGAAGTCACCGCACCTCGTTCTATTTTTAAATACACCAACCGCATCACTGCAGACACTGAATCGATCCACCTGTCAATCTCACGCTCCATCCTCCCTTTACTCATGAACAAAACCCCGAGATACTTGAACTCCTCCACTTGAGGCAGGGACTCTCCACCCACCTGGAGAGGGCAAGACACCTTTTTCAGGTCGAGAACCATGGCCTCGGAGTTGGAAGAGCTGATTCTCATCCCAGACCACATTTTTAGTCCATTTGTCTTTTGCTTTGGAGACAATCCTCTTGTGTTTCTGGTTCTTTTTATCCAGTCCTTCTTGTTTGCTCGCAACCTGAAGAGATTTTCTCGGTCATCTGCTTGTTTGTCAGTATATATAACAGCATTTCTTCTGCGTTTCTCCCTTCCTGTTGTTGTGTCCTTGGGCAAGACTCTTCACCCACTTCATTTTCCGAGGAGAGATCCGGTGACGCGCTCCTCCCCGCTCAGGCGGACAGAGCGATGTGGTGAGAGAACGTCTGCTGGCTCTTGCACGTTGAGTTTAGTGCGCCGTTAAAGCGTCGTGCGGTCTAGAACGCAGACCAGAGTTAATGAACGGGGTTTTTAGGGCCTGGGAAAAGACAGTCTCGTTAGAGCGGACCACCAAGACGTAGGTCGTAATGTAAAAAAGTTTAGATTGACTTCGAAAATGTATGATGATTTGGAAATATGCGGGGTTTGCATGAGTTCTACGGGAGAATTTGCTACCGAAGATACAAAAATAGTGTGTTTTAAAGTGTGGTTCAAGGTATTGTTTTCATTGGTGGAATTAAAGGTGCACTGTGTAACTTTTTGATTGGAGTTCCGTCACCTGCTTGTTTCTATGGAGATGTCATTGCTTTGCCTGGAATGTTCCACAGTGTGACATTAAACAGCTCTACCTTACATTTATTCAATTACAGGTGGTTTTATAGCTCAAAAATACTTTAAAAAACAGGAATTCTGACTGTGAGCGGGGTTGTAACTCCACAGATCTGAGCTGTAACTTGGTCTGCCTTCGTCTTCATGAAGATAGAAAGGTTTAATGTCATACTGTGAAACATTCCAGACAAAGCAATAACATCTCCTTGGAGGAAAGCATTTGACGGACACAATGCGCCTTTAAGACAAGCGCCATCAGAGACATCAACCTGGTCCCATGAGGCGTCGGTGGGTCAGTTCATCAGCACAGAAGCAGTTTATGAGGAGTCCAGCCCATATCACATGATCATTATATCCACAATGTAATGTGTGTATCTGTACAGGCCCATGAACATTAGTGTGATATTGGTCACACATGAGAAGGTCTGTGTTTACTAGTGTGGAACCAAACTGTCATTTTTCATGAGTTGTGTGTGTGTTAGTTGTGTGACTGTAGATCAGTGTGTTGTGTGTCACCAGAAAAACAAGAAATGTTCCAACGGCTACACTGAAAGAGAAAGGAACTGTTATAATTAGTGATTATCTGGAAAACTATGAATATTTGACTATACAAATGCATAGAATTATAAATAGATAATAATTTTTGTGAGATTTTGAGACCACTCGAGCTCGATCCTTCGCAGAGTTATGACCAAAAACACATACTTGACCTTGGTTACCTTGACCTTCAAGTGACCTTGAGCGGTTTCAACCTGTAACATCCAGTGTACCCCGGTTATGTGTGTGCCAACTTGTGTGATGATTGGGTGAATATTTTAGGCCGCAGATGGTTCAGAAATTGTCAATCCTTTATAATGGCGTGACCTTTCAATTGACCCTTGTGACCTCAAATGACCTTGAATCATCACCAAACTTTTTTTGCGGCATCGGGCACAGAGGCTTGACTCACGTACCAAATTTGGTGACAATGGGTCATAAATGGCAGAATTATCACGGGTGGACAGACACACAGACACACACATAGACACACAGGGTGAATACAAAACCTGGCCAACCCTTTAGGGACCAGTTAAAAATGCATTTGAGGTGCTTCCTGACAGTGTATTCTCATAAGCGAATGACAGGTTGAGTTTTTTCACTGAAAGTTACTTCATTGTGATTTGCTGTCAAAAAAGTGACCATGTTGAATTATTGGTTATGAAGATCCAGTTATTGGATGAAAAAATGGATTTAAACAGCACATTTTTGGGAGTCTGTGATTAATATGAGTGTTTGATTTTCAACAAAAAGGTGAGAGTGACTAACTGAAAAACACGAGCATGTGACTGTAGTTTTATGTGTGAGAGACTTAAGCAGTTGTTGTAGTTTCAACTAGCAGCTCTTTCAGGTCAGACTGTGTTTAAACCAATAATAATAATAATACAACAGTTTTATATCACTTTTCTGGACACTCAAAAATGCTTTACAAATAATTATTAATTCACTCCAAAACTACTACTGTAGCCCCAGCTGCCCAGACTGACACAAGTAAGGCTGCCGATCTGCGCCATCAGCCCCTCGACCACCACCAGTACTCACGCACACAACACTTTCAGACTAGCAGAGGTGAGACTAAGTCCTTGTTTTGCAAGTCTCAAGTCTTTGACCTCAAGTCCGAGTCAAGTCTCAAGTCAAATACAGGCAAGTCCAAGTCGAGTCTCGAGTCACTGGTCCATAAGTCCAAGTCAAGGCCAAGTCGTCTGCTTTGAGCTTCAAGTCATTTCAAGTCTAAAGTACCAAATATAGCTTAGATGTTTGCACTTTTTATGAATTTTAAACCAGATTGTACTTAAAAAGTCATGTTATATTTATATATGAGTATTTATATACATTTTACTTTTTAAATGTTTTGACAAGATCTTAGTGTGAATCATTACGGTAAAAATAGAAACAATTCAGATTTAATTTAAGTTATTTTGTCATGAAATCTGCACAGAAATGGAAGGATCAAGTTCGATATAGTTCCTGCTGTTTACTCTATTGTACTGTATATTACTGTACTGTATATTACTGTATATTACTGTATATTACTGTATTGTACTGTATATTACTGTATATTACTGTATTGTACTGTATATTACTGTATATTACTGTATTGTACTGTATATTACTGTATATTACTGTATTGTACTGTATATTACTGTATTGTATTGTATATTACTGTAGTACATTTGAGGATATCATCTCACAGTACTTCAGTTACACCCAAAGTAACAAACAGAAGTGGGTGGGACATGTTCCAGTTTGTTCTTGTAAAATTCAGCTTTGCATTTATCAACTGTAAAAAGAAAAGTATTTTCTAAAAAAGGCTCAAGTCCGAGTCAAGTCCCAAGTCACTGACCTTCAAGTCTAAGTCAAGCCCCAAGTCTTAGTCCATTTTATCAAGTCAAGTCTCAAGTCCTAAAAATAGTGCACTTGCAGGTTCCCACCTCTGCATACTAGGAAATGTGGGTGAAGTGTCTTGCCTAAGGACACAACGACAGTTTTTATGACCGGCGCTCCTGATTTTCCCAGCTGTTTCCCATCCAGGTACTAACCAGGCCTGGCCCTGCTTAATAAGTTTTACACCGATACGCTGCACAGTCTTGGGTGACAGAACAAAAATACAAGTTTAAATATAAAATCTTGATATGTTTCTACACATTCTATGAAAATTTGAGGTTATTTCAACAAGAATTGACAAAATTATTGGCCTGCAAAGTCCAATTCTTTGGGACACCCTGTATAAAACATTGATCAGAAAATAGCGCAATATGGGACCTTAAACTCTGAGCTGGAGTAAAAGTACAATCTTCTGTTCCCTTTAGTATTAAAAAGGTAGCACCATCATTCAAATGTTCAGCCTCTACTGTGGATCGGAATTCCACTCGGTTCCAAACTAAATATGATTCAACAGTTATGGATTTTTCATTAGTGGCTGTGGTTACAAGCGCACTCAAAATCTGATTATCCGATTTTTTTTGAGTTATAAGATCATTAAAACGACATGTAAACACTAAAATAATCAGATCTCTTCCTGATTCTGGTCCCTCTGATCGCTCCCGTTTCATTTTGTGGTTTGCGTGTGATGTCTTAAAGGTCCAGAAATCCGATTATAATGAGATTTTGGTGTGCGCGTTACCACAGCCGGTCAATTTCTGAAACCGTGAATTGCTGCAGGAGTTATCCAGGCCCCTGCTCTCTCGAGAATGTTGCAAACACAGTCTTTAGTGAAGTGAGTTTCAAATTTAACTAACCTTTTTTCTTCATAGTGGCTGTAGCAGGGCAGACAGACAGAATTTAACTTAAAGAGCCCATATTACTCTATTTTCTGATGTAAGTTATGTTTCCTCATCACAAACAGACCTGGAGAAGGTGTTGGGAAAGTTCAGTTCACAAATTTTAAAATGAAAACGTTGCTGTGAGTGATTATTTTTAAATATCATTGCCAAAGCCCAAATAGAAGCACAGACAGAATTTATTGGATCAGTTTTAACAATGAAACTGTGTGTTACATAGGGTGACCGTATTTCCGTTGGTGAAAACGCAGTTCACCTTTCGCGGATTATATTATTTATTTATTTTTTAACACACAGGTGGGTCAGGACTAAACCAGGTCTAAGCCAGGACTAATCTTAAGACTTAAGAGAGAGAACGCCGAGCAGTTTGTCCGTAAAGCGCGGTTACAT